CTGGATTGCCATCAATGTCAAAGACTTCTAGATGACAGAGACCTGCCGTAAGGCCTCTGTCCCCTGGAACGGCACCTTTCTGAGTGTTGTCAGCATCGTAGGTTGGTAGATGCGTGCTGAGCATGCCTTATGTTCAAGTAAGGCGGAGCACAGCCAGCTTTGTTTGGAGCTCCGAAACCAGTTTCTGATAGGGATGCAGTTTAAAATGTTTGTCATCCACTCACTTCACAAAAAAAACACTAACTTGAAATTTGAAAGTAATGTTGAAGGAGAATGGTCTCCCACAAACTACTAATTGATGCGTTGCTTTTAAGATTGAAATCCTATTTCTTCCTTTTATACGCTGTCCTAATTTCTTCTGTTTGCTTATTGCCTTTTCAAAGGGTCCTTTGTGCTTCATAATTATTCTTTATGATGTTGTCCCTAGCTAAATTTTCTCCACTTGCCTTGGGGTTTTCTTGTACTCTGGATCTCCTATTAATTTTATTACCCAGCATCTACTGTTTCTGCATACTGATTAAAGACCACGCTGCCTTGTCTTGCTGCTAGCTGCTCCCACCACCGTTCTGTAGCTGAGCAGGGAACACACACAGGGTGGGCGGACGTCTGTGGTGAGTTCTGATTGCCTGCTTGCACTGACAGCCCCTTCTCTAAGAGGGGACATTGTGTGGTTGGAATGGGGAGAGAAGTTTCCATTTGTCTGGGTATGTGCCTCTGCACGTATGCACGTACACAGTACATAGCCTGTGCTGGCTTAAGTACTTTGTAAATTATGGTGATTTACCCTGCTTTAACTATTTAATGTGAATAAACCTTTTTGTTTCAGTTTTAAAAATACTTATCTGACCTTTTTTTCCTTTTGTGGCCTCTGAACATGTATTCAGTCAGCAAAAATTGTGCTGTTAATGTTAATGATCAGAAGAGTCCATTAATCTCCAAGTGATTTGGAATACTCTTTCTTGTGGACTGATTATATCCCAGTTTCTTCTTAATTTCTTGATGATCTGTATTGTTCGCTGTACCTTGGGAAGGAGCCTTGGTTCAAGGACTGTGGTGAGTGGAGATGATAAACAACACTTTGAGTGTAGCTTAGAATGATGTTTGGATTATGTCCCTGCTTTTAAAAGTGAATACAAATAATTATAAGTTATGCAAAAGTTATTTTTAGTTTTTGGAATTTTAAGTGACTTCCTATGTGAATTTTCTGGAGAGATATAAGAGAGACATCTCTTTTTGACCTGAGGGAACCAACAGACCAAAGAATGACTTGGACAAGTCCAGCATGGTGAGCAAATGAGTTATTAGGGTCATTCACAGAGCAGTGGACAACACATAGGCTGCATCACCACCAATGTCACCGGCCCTTTGCTATGCTTCTGGTTTCGTAGAGCACTAATCAAAACATCAACAGCAGGGTCAAGAACAAGAGGCGAAAGTTTTTAAAAGAAAAAAGAAAAAGCTGTGTCTGCTCTACGCCCATCCCATCCCCATCAGGACACCTGTGGGTCTTGATCTGTGCCGCTTGCTGACCCTGTGGTACTACAGCCTGGCACACAGTCCCGGGACCCAGTGGACCCACTGGGCCGCTCAGCAGGGCCCACTGTAAGGTGCAGGGAGCTCGGCCAGGGTTCAGAGGACAGTTGCCCTTCTACTCCTTTGTAATGAAGTACACTTGTAATTAGGTGGCTTTTGGTGAAGTATAATTCAAAGGCGAGTGACACTGAAGAAGGCTTTTGGACTCTCTGTGCGTGATTTCTGTAACTGGAGTCTATGGCAGATGTTCGTCTAATCTTTTTTTTTTTTTGGACAGAAAACACTTGTAAGCCTGCTTAAAACCATCCAGGATAAATGTGACATTTATAGTCATGGTAGTAATAATGAGTTTATCTGTCTTTTTTAAATACTGAAAAATGGACCTTCAAAATGAATTGAAATACTTCATAAGAAATGCTTTTAGCAAGCCAAATGTAAGGCAACTGGTAAACACTGAAACCCTTTGGGAACTTGTCTTTACAAGGCTGACGAGTTTCATTTAGGTAAATAATTTGTTTTTCAATAAATCTGTGAGTGTGTAGCTTTTGTAGCAGCAAGGACTCTTGATGGAAGTAGATTCTGAAACCCAGGAGAGAGGGTGCTGTGGCAAAGCTGGCGTGGAGAGAGCAGGGCCTGTTGGACGGCAGAGGAGCTGCTGGGGGCGGGGGCAGCCGGGAGGGTTCTCCCTTGAGGTTCCCAGGTCATCCTTCTCCTGCCCAAACCCCCGCCCTCAGCGGGTGGCTCCTCTTGTCTGGTTCCTCAGGCTGTCCTGTGAATCGACACACATGACAGTGGCAGTCACCTGTGCTCGGGGGCCGAGTGTTGACTGTGTGGATTGCCCAAGACTTCCAGAGGCCAGTTCAAACATGTTAATTAAAGAAACTTAAAGAGGGAGGATGGACTTCAGTGTGGTGGCAAAAACAGAAGTCACATTTCCTAGAAAAAAATGGGCATGAGCTGTATAAAACTTAGATTAAGTGCTATATATGTTCAGTTTATTTCGTCATGGTGAAAACGAGCACCCTGTATTACATGCCCAGGAAGTAGTTATACTAGGTCTGTGCAGGATCACAGAATGCCGTTCTCCAACCACCTGTACTTACATAATTTTATATAAAGAATTTTGTGTATTCACATATACTGTTTTAAAAATTGTGGCAACATGTGTAACATAAAATTTACCATTTGGAATATTGAAGTGTACAGTGTAATTTAGTCCAGTCACACTGTATAAACATCACTGCGCATGTTAGTCAGCACTTGTGTTTTCTTCATTTTTAGATTTCTGAGTCCTTCACAAGAATGTGTTTTGGTCAAAAAAAAAAAAATTTAAGATTAGAATTGAAGGCATTTTCTCTAGGTCGGAGACACTAGACATGTTATTAGTCCCAGTGGCTAATTCTAACAGTAAACCTAGAGCTTGTGAGGAATAAAATCAGACTTTAAAAACCAAATAATGTACTGGATGCTTTATAGATTAATGTGTTAATGGATACCAAATAGTTAAATTTGAAAGTATAAATAAGTATTTAGAGCGGAGTATAATATATGCTTGTAAGTGACTAGAATTTCTGAAAGATGCACAGTTTATAGATGTAATGAAAAAGTAAATTTGCATATAATAGAACCACATGGTCCTGTCCTCCTGTGTCCTGGGCACAGTGGTATCCTATGAAGTGGATCCACATTCTGTGATGAAAATAGTTTGTAGTGTTAACTTTATTCAGAAATAAGTCAGTTGCTTTTTCTAATATTGACATTTTTTTCATAAATTTATTATAATTGTTGATGTTTGCTGTTGTTGAAGCTGAAAATAATTACACATGTCAGTTTTTTTCTGTACTTTCTTTCAGTTGTAGTTTCCTTTTGGAGGATATATACTTTAGCTTGTGTGAGATTATATATTAGTTTTAGAGATAAGGTTTCTTAAACGTAATTTTAATTAGATGTATTTCCTGCTAAAAATGTACTTCCTCTTACATATCAAAACTAAGCATTCCATTTGCCAAGGCTGTACCTCCATCGCCAGTTCTGCTAATGGTTTAGAGCACTACTGGCTGATATGTCATTAGTATTTGAGTTTCTTTACTGAAATATTACAGACATCAGTTGAAAGTGTTAGTAGAAAACATGTTGCCATCTGGAAAAGCTAGAAATGAAAGAAAATTACCTTAATTGATGAGTCATCTTTTTAATTCCCATGGATAGCAGTGTCAGTTTAAATTCTTTGTTACAAATTATAACCTGATCATTTTATTGCTTCGCTTTTCAACTGTCTGCATCAGTACATTCAACGTGTCAGATATAACGTGTAACACATGTATGTAGTAGATCTGTTATATGATCTGATGTGATTATCACTGAAGATAACTTGAAATATATGTGCAGTTATTTTTCAAATTAACCTAGTTAAATTTTCAAAAGCCAATAAATTAAATAGTACTAGATATTTTAATGTAACCTTTTATTCATTGATGCTAATGATTGTAATTCACTGAAGCCTAAGTAGGGAAAGAGAAGATTCTAATTTCTATAGTTATACTTTGAGAAACCAGTGAGTTTTTGTGGGTTGTGATGAAAATAATAGAATAGGTAGAAGAGCTTTCATTAAATCTGTCAAATATTCATGTATCCATTTTGCACAAAGCATCCTGTTTAATGTTCAAGAGGTTTCTAAAATTATTAATTTTTGAGGAGTCTATGATTGTGAATTGTTCAAATCAAAGAATGATTAGTCTCCAAGTCACAGAGATTGGAACTCTGAATTGTGTTTTGGTTGTGGCTCACGAAAACTAAACTATGACAGATGTTCAATCCCCCAAAAATTGCTTGGGAACTTCCACCTCTCACACTTTGGAATTATTTGTTTTGCTAACATAAAAAAGACATGTAAAATTCTTTTTATAAAAAATTTTTATTTCAGGTGTTTCTGTTTTATTTTGTTTTTGGTACTGGGCATTGAACTCATGCCTTGTGCTTGCCAGGCAGGTGCTTACACCACTGAGCTAAATCCCTATTTGAGTTTTTCAATAGGAAACTGTGTCAGAGTCCCTCTTCATAGATAGTTCCATGTTAGTACTGCCACCAGTAAAGGTGTCTGCTTGAATAAAGAATTTGTTTCAGAATTTTAAAAATGCTTCCAGTAGAATCAATTTAAATAATGGTTTAAAATCCACTTTCCTCCCTTTGTTATAGCTTTAAAATATATTTCTGACATTTTAAGTCATCAAAATGTTATTTCCAAAGTAGTTAGAAATGGTAAGAAGAGACCTCCAAAAAATAAGTATGCAGAACATTGTGAATAGTATGGTACCATTTGTTAAAAGTGGGCTTGGATATATCCCTAGAAACTGGTGGGTAAAGAATATTTCTGGAAGAACAAACAAAACTAAAAATGGTTTCTTTGGGCAAATGGACAGATCCTGTAAGAGATTCTGTATTAAGGCAATAATCTATGTTCTTCTCAGATGGCCCTGCGGAAGCACCAGTGACCAATGGGAGCACAGCCACAGTGCCAGCCCTGAACGATGATCTGGACATCTTTGGACCAATGATTTCTAATCCTTTACCTGCAACTGTTATGCCCCCAGCTCAAGTATGTGGTAAATACATGGTTTTATATAGCCACTGATTGCACAGGCTTGTGGTAAATATGTGTTCTTTTATGGCCACTGATTTATTCCTTTTTAAAATGTCTCAGAAACTTAATTTTGAAGTAATTGTTTCTGAAGAGTCACTGTAGGGACCCAACCACTGTCACTGGTTTAAGTATTGTCTTTGGCTATTTCATTGCTACCAAAGCACAGTTGGAAGTTTCAGCAGGGGCATATGACCCACAAAACATAAGATGTTTAAAGTTCTGATACGTGCTTGTTCATTTATGATAAAAAAAAAACAAGGAAACAAACTTGGACTACCTGAGCCTGATTTAAGATGAAAAGGTCACATACTTAAAGAGTTTTTTAAATGTGGATATTTGCTAGTTATAACTGCTGTATGAAAGTTCTAGCAAATTCAGTATGTATCTTTTTTTTGCTGAAGCTAAAGTATGCTTTAAGTTACTTAAAATCTCCCTTGCTATTCTGTGTTTGTGATTGAAGAACTGTTAGATCAGTAATATTAATGGTCAAGATTATTTTTGAAATACTAATGGAGAAGAAACTTTGGATTGTTTTAACATTACATGAAATTTTCAGAAGGTGGAATTCAAGAACTTTCAGGTATGCAACAACTTTTTTTGTAGTTTTTTTTTGTTGTTGTTGTTGTTGTTTTGTTTTTATGGTTTTTAGAGGCAGGAAAACTGGGAATCACAAAGTAGCCTATAAGCCAGGCTGGCTGTGAGCTTATTTTGTAGCCCAGGCTGGTCTGGAACTCACAAGGATCCTCTTGCTTCAGCCTCTCAAATGCTGGGATTACAGACATGAGCTTCCACACCTGGTTTAAGATTTTATTTATATGTGAATTTTATAATGTTTGTTTCAACATAGCATAATTGTTTAGGGACATGCTTTTTTTCTATAGAAAAACTGAGCCTGATCTGATTTATTCATAGTTGTGATACAAAAAATGTATAGGTCTTATTTAGAAGACTAATAACATTAAACAGATTTTGGTATGATAGTTATTGTACACTTAACCACTAGAATTGAAAAAGTAGATTTCTTGGGAAATAATTAGTTTAAATGGATCTTTTATCAAAATTGCCTGTAGTGTTTATTTTCAGCAAAGATAGCTCATTTTATGGTTTTGTCCCTTTGATATAGGGGAATGAAATTCCCTGTCTACTATATGTTTGGTATGAGTTTGTATTCTCTAAAATTGAAGAATAAATTTTAGGGACAGTGAAGGTTAAGAGCAGAAATACTTATTGAGAGAAAGAAAGCTTTTGTCTGAAAGAGAGACAGAAGGGGTCCCGAGTGGGTTGTCAAAGATTCTTCTTTTCTAGGGATTTTTATAGAGTACAACCATGAGGTGAGGCGGGTCTAAAGTGGGGAAAACCGGGAGGGAGCTCACAAGGTAGATGGGCATGAGGTGGGAGACAGCTGTGGTCGACCAGTAGTAAGTTTAATTGTTCAGGTAAAATTGACCAAATTATTAGGGACAAATGGGGAAGCACGTCAGGTAGCAAGTGAACATTCTTATGAATCAGTGACTGTTCCTATAAGGGGTGAGGATGGTGACTCCTGGCTTCTCAAGGTGATCCATTCCTAATCCGTAAGGATTATATTTAAGGTCTGGTTGCACTTGTTCTGCCTTCTGAGATCTGGCCCCCAGCAAGAGCTGTGTGTCTCCTCCAAGGTCACAAGACTTAGTCCTCTGTGCTGGCTTCCTCAAGGACCTAGCCCTGTCTGACTCCCTGTAATATGTGTAACTAGCTCAGCTGCCTGCAACACTTTCTCCTCCTATTGCACAACATATAAAAAGATTAAGTATTATTACTATTGTTTCAATTAACATTTATTACTTTTTGAGTTTGTGCAGGCATGGCTTTGCATGAGGCCATACAGTTGTCTAATACTGTGATTTTCAAAGAAAGACAGTATATTTGACAGTCTGAATATGAAGAGCATTTGAGGCAGTAGTATCTGCTAGGCTTCTTCAGGCTCCTGTGAGGCACATGTTGCTTTGCGTCTGCATAGAGCATTAGACCTCACCTCTGCTAATAGTGTTCCACATGTTTTGTTCACTGTTATAGCAGTAAGTAGAACAGTGTGGATCGACTTCTCTGTACAAGTAGTGCTGTGATAAGGGTGCAGAGCTCCTTATTAGGAGGGGCAGGGCGTTCTGATCTGTGCCTGGTAGGATGACAAGGTTACATTTTTAAGTCTGTCTACTTCTCTCTTTGGAACACTTGCTGAACATAATTACTGCTTATTTAAACTATATATATTGCCAGTACAGGGAGATGCTGTCTCAAACAATAAACTCCATATAAAGATTAAAATCTAAATACATTTTAAAAATAGTTCTCTGAAAATGAAGTTCAGATTTTACACATACACTGTATAGTTTACTAATTTTGGTGAATATTCATTATATGAAATAGAGCTTAAATTAGTTTGAACATCAAGATTACGAACTACTCCTGATATTTGTCTTTCAAGCACACATAATTCTAGTAAAAGCCTTTTCACTTGTGAGTGTGAAATAGGTTGATCTGACCATTTGCTCTGCCCTGTGGGCTGGGAATGCTTGGCTAGTGAGACTGGTGTGGACGGTGTGTTGGTGGTGGAGGGACAGCTCCAGAGCCGGGATGTACTGTACCATACAGAAGGGTGCGAGAGCTGAGGCCTGTGCAGGGCTCAGCTCTGGATCCTCGAAGGCCAGAGTCTTTGATGGGCCACGCAGCTCCCTAAGTACAAAATGACAGGCAAGCATCCTTCTCCTCTTATCTTGGCAAATAGGCCACCCAAAATAAGCAGACATTTGCGTGATGTTTAGGTCATGGGAATATTGAGTTGCTCTTGTATGAAATTGGAATTATAGCTTGGCCAACTATTGGGTTTTCTTGTGGTTACAGTTATAAGGAAAAGCCCCTCAGGATGTTGAACAAATTCTTACAATGAACAGACTTGAAATATGAGGGAAAAGATCAGTTAGTGATGTAGCTGCTTAGAGTCTTCTCAAATTACACAGTAAGGTGAGCAGCAAATAGAAGTTAATCCCCTGGCCAGGACACCATGTGATAAATTAACACCCAAACATTCTACTCACAAACTAGACGGAACAATAATTTTCAACCTGTAATGTCTAGTTAAGGAAGAATTATAAGACACTTCACTTTGCAAAATTTCACAATATCAAATATAACAGTTCCCTTGCATAAAAGATACCTTAGCTACCAATGAATAAACAGATCATAGAGGCTAACAGCATGAGCTGACGCCACTGTATCCTGGCTCATGACTGTAACAGTGGACCCTTACACACACACTTCACATTTGGTGCCCACAATGTGAGGCTCCCTGCTTGGTATTACTGTTCATACTGTTAGATATCAAAGCAGCTACATCACTAACTGATCTTTTCCCTCATATTGTGAAATTTTGCAAAGTTAAGTGTCTTATAATTCTTCCTTAACTAGACATTACAGGTTGAAAATTATTGTTCCGTCTAGTTTGTGAGTAGAATGTTTGGGTGTTAATTTATTACATGGTGTCCTGGCCAGGGGATTAACTTCTATTTGCTGCTCACCTTACTGTGTAATTTGAGAAGACTCTTAAGCAGCTTTGACTAGTCTTTACAGAATTCTTTGAAACTTTTCATATTAAAAACGTTTAATGACCGCAGAGATTAGGTAAGATCAGTGTGTTCAGTACTGTGTAAGATGGTAAACAGAATTTTATTTCATATTAAATAGCTGCATTTGTGTTCACTTATCTCTGAATGGAGTACAGGATATACAGTAGTTGAGTGTATGCGTGCCCACTGTAATGTCATTACAATTGACCTAGAAGCCAGGTGTGGTGGCATATAGGATTACAAACTTGAGCCTAACCTTAAACACAGTGACTTCACAACAAGCTTAGACTACACAGGTGAGACCTTGTTTCAAAAGAACAGAACCCAGTACCTGACCTAGATAAGATCTATTAAGAATCCAACAGTGTACCCTTTTAAAAGATAAAAAGCATGTTGGTTGTAGCACTTTCTTGTAGTGTGCTATTTATAGCTCTCCCCTCCACCCCCACCCCCCACCCCGGGATTGTATCCTGGGCCTTTACTGTGAGCTATGTTGTTTGATATTTGAGATAAGATCTCACTAAGTAATCTAGGCTGGGCTTGAATTTGGTGATCCTCTTGCCTCAGCCTTCCAGAGTGCTGAAATTCCAGGTGTGTGCCACCATACCCAGTTTAGAAATGTTCTTTTATTCTAAGATAACAGTTCCTCCAAATGGCAGTCCTGATCCTGAGGCAGTATCCACACAGCTGTTAGACCCATTGTGTTCACTATGTGAGGAGTAAGTAACTGCATCAGCCCAGCTGGTAAATGCAGTTTATTATGAAAGAGCTTTAGTCTCTCTTTTACATTAATAGATTCAAATTAAGAAACATTGTATCTTCATTCTAGATTTTTTGAGTGGGCTTATGAACAATCATCTTGAATGTTACCATTTTACCTAAATTCCCAATTTCGTAACTTTATTTGGATTTTAGGTACAAGCTGAGCCATGCTTTATTGTGCAGAATACAAAAATTTGTTTTGGTGTTTATCTTAGGGGAATTCCTCCATACCAACAACTGCCACCCTGTCTACAGTGACATCTGGGGATCTGGATCTATTCACTGAGCAAACCACAAAATCGGAAGAAGTAGTGAAGAAACAGCTCTCCAAAGACTCTATCTTATCTCTGTATGGCGCGGGAACCGTTCAGCAGCAAAGCACTCCTGGTAATTAATTTTGAAGTGTGCTTTCAGTGAATGACAAGTGACATTAATAGAAGTACTTGGTGACTGTATCATCGGTTACAGTTCTTCCCTGCTTGCCTGTGGCAGTACTTGCTTTCGTTATTGTACTTTCTACAACTATGAAACGGAAATGAAATAGACACAAAACTTTATTCATCGAGAATTAACAAGCTGTGCACATATCACTTTTTCACAAGCATATAAGACATGAATTATCTTTAAGAATTATTGAAATTTGATTTACATAAAGATTTTGACAGTATAATTCAGGTAAACAGTAAGTCTGAGTTACCACGTGGGTCCCAAAGCCTTTGAAATTTTTAGTCATTACAATGAAATAGAAGCATAAAATTTATCCAGTTTAGTGTTCCAGACCATTTCTTATAAAAGAACGAGCCACATTTCACATATGCGCTGACCCGGTGGCTGTGTCTCCCTTTCCTGCGCAGTGCGGGGCAGCATGTATTGACTCCATATGGGGAGTCTGGCCTACACCGAGGAAGATTCCCTATGTGATTACTGCCTAAAATTGGCATGTTCTAGTTAAGTTTTTTCAGGGTAATAATTGATTTTCTGGCAATAACCAGAAATACCCAGATCTGAAAGTTTAGGTGTAGATGATTCCAAGTGGTGGGAAAGGCAGGCTGGAATGCAGTTTTTTTTTTATCATCAGGAAAATAATAAATATTTTGTGTGTGTTGGTAGAGGTGAGCACAGCTATATACATTAGCCCTCTTTTTTCATTTTTCTCTTCATTGTTTTTTGATGCAGGTGTGTTTCTGGGACCAACAAATATACCATTTACCTCACAAGCACCAAGCACATTTCAAGGCTTCCCGTCGATGGGTGTACCTGTGCCTGCGGCTCCCGGCCTGCTAGGAAATGTGATGGGTCCAAGCACAAGCATGATGGTGGGCATGCCCATGCCCAATGGCTTCATGGGAAATGCACAAACTGGCGTGATGCCCCTTTCTCAAAATGCTGTTGGCCCCCAAGGAGGAATGGTGGGACAGATGGGTGTGCCCCAGAGCAAGTTCAGCCTGCCGCCAGCTCAGCAGCCCCAGTGGGGCCTCTCACAGGTAGGAGCCATGTGTTCTGCAGCTTCTCCCAAATCAGAGAAATCCTAATGTTTTCTACGTGTTGTTTTGAAATCAAATGCTCTAGATTTAGGGAACAGTATAGCTAATGTTGTGTAAGATCAAACTGTTAAATGAAGACAAATGATTTGTCACTATCCCTATGCTGTGAAGAAAATGTTTTAGGTTCCCCTTCCCCATTTCAGACTGTGTCACATTAAACATTCCTAATATATTTGTAACAGCTAGGAATTGCCGTGGGCATCCTGAGACACCCCCATCCCCATCTGACACCTTAGCATCAAGCTTTAACCAGCTCTTTGGTCTCATGATTGTGATGATCACTTATTCACTTATATCAACCTGCTTTTAATTTGGAACTCTTATTTGGACACCACTTACAAATTAGAAAAAAACAGCCTCATATTCTCAAAGCACAATATTTTGAGCAATTAAGGCTGCCCTCCATGTCACAGAGTTACTGCCCTTGGATCTGTAGACATTTTTTGTTAGCTATCCATGTAAAGCTGTATTTCTTTTTACATACTCTGTGATAACTTATATGTTTAAAAATACTATGCACTGGCTCAAGAATTCCTATACATTGTGCAAATCATTGTTTCAGACATCAGCTCCTGTGATAGTTTTCTTTTCACCTAGGTTAGAGCCAAGAGTAACATTTGTTTTAGATGCTCTCTCTGCCTTTCTTCAGCTCCCTTGACAAAGGCTCTTAAACAGGATCCCACTGTGACATGAGCAGAATCATCATTACTTCATGACTGCTACAAGTCACCTTTGCAATCATGGTATAAAAGAATGTCATGCTGGTGTGTATCTTTGGAAATCTCAAAAATTATTAAGTGTCAAATGCCAGTGAGAGCTTTTACATGGCCAGAATGCTTGAGCAGGTTAAGGAGAGCGAGAAGGAACATTAGCCTTCAAGGCAGCACAGAAGGGTAATGGCTTCTCTAGTGCCCTTTTTGGGTCTGAGGACGGGATCTGCCCTAGTGTTCAGACACTCTTGTTTTACCACTGTTGTGATTCACAGTGTCCTTCAAAAGTTGCAAATAGAATACACTTTACCCTGAGCACAGCTTTTGAGCTCACTCTCTACTTCATGGTAAATCTTTCCTTTCCTTGTCTTAATGCCAGTCTTAACATGAGACAGTCAAAAGCCACAGCTTAGGAACTGATTTATGTCCTTCTTTGGAAGAACACAATGTGTGACTAGGTGTGCAGCATATGCTTGTGATCTCAGTCTGGCATGAGGCTCACAAGTACCAGGCCAGCCTGGGCAACTTAGCAAGATCCTGTTTCAAAATTTTTAAAAAGGGGGTGAGGATGTAGCTCAGTGACAGAGGGCTTGCCTGGCATGAGCAGGGCTCTGGGTTCAATGCCAGCACCTCCGCCCCTTGGCGAATTAGATAAAGAATCTTTCACTTTATAGCATATAATGGAAATTATTAACTCATTATTTGAAAACAAAAAGAATATATGCTCTCAAACATATGTAGAGCCACTGACAGAAAATTATAGCCATCAACCAAAGTTTATGGAATAATTCTGAAGTATTTCACCCAAAGTTTTTTAATCCTTTATAGTAACAGGACAATATCTTAATATGCAGTTGAAAGATTAATGGACTTTAATTCATATACCTTGATAAAAATTAAAAGATTGCTTTGGTATTTTTTCCATTGTAGTTAATCCTTGGGGATAAAAAAAAATGAATATAAGAAGTGGGCTCATAGAATATGCTTGAGATTACTTTAAAAGGAAACAAAGTATTGTTTTCTATAAAGAAATATTGTTTTATGTTAGTCCGTGTTTATCCCAGTGCTCTTTCACATTAATGAAAAAATGTCCCGCTGTGGCTACAGGAAGCAACCTTCAGAGTCGCTGTCACGCTAAGCCGCTCTGTGCCCCACAGGTGAACCAGCAGATGGCGAGCATGAGCGTGGGCGTGGGCGGTGCCGGCTCTGCGTCGGGCTTCAGCCAGACCCCCAGCACCACTGCAGGCTGGCCTGGGAGCTCCTCCGGCCAGACGCTGAGCACGCAGCTGTGGAAGTGAGTGGTCGGTGATGCCGCCTCCAGAATGAACACCTGACATTCCTTGCTGAACGCATCTAGTTCCCCTGTTTACTCATGTACATACAATTGTTTTCTTTCTCCCCCATCTCTTCACATTAAGAATGATCTGATTGACCGTGTTGGTCTGTGCTGATTAATTTTGATGTGGTAAAACACAGGTTGAGAAACCGTTTATGTCAAGGACAGCTTTGCTCATGTTTCCCTGATTTCATAAGCCACTTTATTTGAGAAGCTGCCCAGTCAACTTGCATAATCAGTTTTACTCTCAATAAAATTATAGCTCTAATGTTTGCATATAAGGGAAGTAGTTATGTTAGTAATACCTCTAACAGTATAAACCCCACCCCAAATTAGCCAGTAATCTGTAGGAAGGTACTGTATGATCAAATATTTAATCATATAAATAGAATGTAAATGTTTCACTGAGCACTGTTTTCTAGTGTATCAAAATTCTTTTTATTTCATTATTCACCTCACTGTGCTGTTGTTACAATGTGCTTACAGGGAACGTGGTTAGTGAAAGGAAGATGAACCTGGATGTTATTCTAGAACTTAATGAATGTTTAAAGAATTCAAATTTTATCTGCCTCTTGAATTTGGATCACTAATGTACATAGTGCTATAACACGAAGACCTTTTCCTGCACTATATGTAAACAGGGTAACTAAAAGCTATTTTCAATCCTTGAAGGTGTATCCAGGTTTATGACAGTAATTGTGTTTACATTTTATGGTGCCTAGTATTGACAAAATGTTATTTCCCTATATTAAACAGATGAATCCATAGACCTTTCTGTGAGGTTTATTCCCTTTTAGATAGTCTATTCTTGCCACTGACTTCCAAAGAGGTTCATGTTGAGAGTCAGGAATTGGGAATGTTTAGTTGACAAAATACTCATCATTGGTTTCTAAAACCGGTTCACAGTTCTACCAGCTCTAAGGATAAATGAAGAAAGAAAAGTGTGTAAGACGCTTAGAATGGCATTTTGCAGTGTCCTTGCACTGTACTGTACAGAATCTTCCAATTAAGTTTTAGAGAAAACATGCATAACAGATGAAGACAAGACACACATTTTGTACCGTCCAGTTGGTTTTTGTGGCTGACAAGCTCTGTTGGAGCAGGTGTCCGTGGGTAACAGTGAAGGCCGCTGTGCCAGAGCACAGCAAACAGTACCTGATGTTCCGCAGCATCCTCTCCCGCTACCGCTGGCTGGGCTCCACTGTGGCTACACCTCAATGTTCACTGTGTCCAGGCGGTACTTGGGCTCATTGGCCAGATTGACCTTCTCTGTCCGAGTGTGCCACACGAGGACCTGGGGGAGGGACACATTTTGGGTAGCCACACTCTCAGTACGCACACGCAGAGCCACGCCGCACAAGTGCAATCAGTACCTTGGTGCAGTTATTTGCTTTCGGTTCCAGTTCTTCCACAGTGGTTATCTGCTTCAGAAAGTCAGATTCTTGCATCCCTGGCTGGGACCCTCGACGCTTGAATACGGCTTTTGGATTGGACAAGATGACTTGAAGACTTACAGCAAATCCTTTAAGTTAAAAAATAAAAAAAGACTAAGTAAAATACTGATGTTCTATTTTTTTCTCTATGATTCTGGCAACATCAGGAAGAGTTTCTGAAACACCCACTGTACGTATAAGATCTTGGTTTAGTGTCAAGTTGTCAGGGTGCTGACCAGAAAAAATGCGAAAGCCGGTCTGCTGATAATAGGAGTGGATTTTATAAGTCTGCGTTTCACACCTGCCCTGCACACTGAACTCAGGAGCTCTGAGTGTGAGTGCCTTGCCAGCTCCCAGCACTGTCAGACCTGCTCTATTGAAATCAGCACTGTTTTCCTCTATAAAGTCTGTTGTCTAGCAAGTAACATTTAGTCATATATACCCATCTGAAAAGAATGGGAGTTTAGACATTAATGGTAATCCATTTGATAAATCTGGTTTCGGTTTTTGTATTCAGATCACCTCCCACCCTAGAAAAAGGGCCATGGGTTTAGCTCAGCAGTGGGTCACTTGCCCCATGTACACCTGGCCTGAGGTTCCACCCCAGCACCACCTCCACCCCACCCTGGGCACCAGTCAAATACATCAACTGTGTAAGGTGATGTGGCCATATAGCCTTACTGTGTAACCTGCAGTTTAACAAACTCAATTGAAGCCTCAGACATGAAGGAGCTCTACAAGATACCAGGAGGAGCTGTGAGAGAACCGAGAACCTCTGCCATGTGCCAGCCGGCTCATGTGGGACCCTGCTGCCCTGGGAAATGGAAACTCGGCTACACAAAAGCCAACTTGGTACAGTAGGCTCTAAGTGATGCAAAACAGTTGGAAGATATTAGTGTTAGCATGCCTGGTGCCCCCACCAAGCCTGCAGGGAAGCAGCACAGTCCAGCAGAAAGAACCCCGAGTTTCTGCCCAGGTCCTGGCACTTGGGACATGGCCGAGACCCTGAACCTTGCTTGGTGTTGTAACTTCCCATCTGTTGGGCTGTGAGAGGAGCGCAAAGCCTGGTCTGACTAATGAGACACTGGTAGGGAAGCCATCCACAGATTGCAGATGCTGCTCAAATAATGACGATACCCAGATATAATTTAAGATACCACTGGACAAAGCATCTTGAGGGACTGGCAGGGTGGCAGTCACCATGTGTGGCTGAAGGAACCCTGGTTGACAGGTGAGGGGTGTGTGAAGGTTCCGGGCCTCAGAGTCGGGCATTTGCTGGTCACATCACTCTGGTAAGAAGCTGGAAGATATAGCTAAGGCAGTACAGGACTTAAAGGTTCAAACTGGTCCCAAAGTGCCTTTTCTCATATGCCCAGGTTTTAGTGCCAGGTTATTGCCTGCTTTTATACACACATCTTTTGTTTTCAGAGCAAAACTATAGTTTTATTTAAAATTTCTCACCTTGATATATGAAATGTTCATTTCGTCATAGTTTACAAATGTTTTCTTAAATATATATTCACATTAAGGCAAGAAGCTATCTAGAAAACATTTATTCTGCTTAAGGCATACTTGGAAATAAACCATTTTACAAATTATTGCACATCTGAAATGACACCTGCATAAAATTGTTAAAGTAAGCCAGGTACGTTTAAGTGATTTGAGTCATAAATGTGGATTGGAAGACAGAAACAGACTGTCCTTGTCAAAACATGCAACAGTTGGAGAACTTTGGTGTCCTCATTCAGTACTCTAGCACCAAGACCCCCAAGTATCATGTAGGTCATTAAAACATTTTCTGTACTTGGATTTCTCCTAACATCATACCAGTGGCTTTTATGAAGCAAAGAGAATATACATGACCTTTATGTTTACACTGTATGGGAATTCAAGGATTCAAGAGAATCCTGCCCTTCCTGTCCTCCCAGAGTCACTAATCTAATTTATACCGGTAGCCACTCCCTGGAACTGCAGTTCTAGGCATGTTGAAGTGGGATTTGGAACTAATAGAGCCCATCTGCTCTCCGATTTTTGTCTTAGATTTCTCCTGATTATCCACTTACAAGCTGAGTCATTGGGGCTTTGACCGTGATTGTCTGTGGCTGGCTCTTCCCCTCACTGAATTCTCGTCTTGCAGTGTGGGTCCTACTCAGCACCTGTGATTTCCAAGCACTTCTTCCTGTGGCATCTCCACCCAAATGGGGCCAGGCTCCCAGGCTCAATCAGTCCTGCTCAGAGCTGCTGCCCAGCTGGGAGTCATCAGCTGCCCAGTACCAGTGGACATCTGGGACCCACGGTGGTGCAGATACTGCTACCCAGTCTTGTGCCCCAACAATGGGGTTGCCAGGTCTTGACTCGCCCTGCTGAGTGGCGACTCTATTTTCATGAGTTTATGACTTCTCTAACAACTTTTACATATAAACTTTTTATTTAAAAAAAGACATCCCCAGTTTATATTTAATCCAAAAGATTAAAATGTTTTATTCTTTGCTGACTTTAGAGTACAGGGACCTCACTGCTTCTGGGCCCCCGTTAATGAGGCTGCCCCTGGTACGTGGGCCATATAGGGGAAAGGGAAAGAAGAAGGTCTCCATCTCTTGGACCCAGCTTCTTCCTTTTTATCCAGTGAGTCAGCCTTGAGTGCACCAATGCTCTGGTTTGTTTCTGTTTGTGTGTAAGACAGTCTCCCTCTGCAGTCTGGGTTGGCCTTTAACTCACTGAGTAGCCTAGGCTGGCCTCAGACTTGCTGGGATTACGAACGTGGGCCAGCTCTTTTGCATTATTCCTTACCTGGCTTCAAGACGCTGATTTCCCATTCTCTCCAAAGATGGAGGTAGAGAGTCTAAATTGTGCAGAAGTAATTCTGAAAAAGGTATGAAACTAGTGGTTTGATTTCCTTCTCCTGTCTGGAGACTTAACACAGTCGTTACCCTGACCATTGAAGGATTCAGTTGAGTATTTTCTTGCTTTCTTTAGCTCCAAGCCCGGTGAGTTAGTGGGCAGCAGGTGGGCAGCTCTGTCCTGCTCCAACACCTGGGAGACTTTTCTAGTGAAGGATGTACAAATGAAATGCCAGTGAAAAACTGTTTTTGTTATGAAGGCACAGTGTTTCCTAATTTCTTCAAGGGCACTGAGATGGGAGGAAAGATGTTCCCTCCCAGGCACGGGGGACAGGGCTGCCTCAGGAAATGCCTCCTGGTTACTGAGGAGAAAACCGCTTTAAAGTCTCAGCGTCCAGCCCTTTTCACTGCTGACAGGATACAGTAGCGGGGACTTGGTTTCCCTTTCTGAGTAACGAAAAACCTGATAAAATGTTAGAAAACAGCTTCTAGACAATGGAGATGAGGCACATGGGGACATGGAGAGACGAGGCACATGAGCCCTGCCTTCCACATGGAGGGTGGAAACTCACATCACAGGGCAGGAACTCCGCTCCACAGCCACTTTGAGCTGAGAAAGCAGAACTGAGACTGAGGAGGCCAGAGCAGGCAGAACTGGCAGAGGACAGGAGCAGGAAAGGGCTCCAGAGATGTGCAGCTGGTCCCCGGAGTCTCTGTGTACAACAGCAATCCCTGCAGAATTACCCAGAACAGGCTAGTAGTAGTTCACACCCTCAAGGGGCAAGGTAGAGCTACCCAGCAACTGCCAGTATGCCTGCAGGAGTCTGTGGAAGGTTCCTGGCCATGGTGGGTTCACATTAGCCCTAAGAGTTAAGCAAGTTCTAACTTTACATTTTTCTAATTTAAATTTTTTTTAAAAAATTTAGCCTCGAGGGCTGGGGATTTAGCTCAGCAGCATAAGCGCCTGCTTTGCAAGCAGACAGTCGTGAGTTTGATCCCTAGTACCGTTAAAAACGGAAAAAAAAAAACAATTTAGCCTCGCTATGTAGCCCAGGCTGCCCTTGAACTCATGGCAATCCTGCCTCAGCCTCCTGAGTGCTAGGATTATAGGCATGTGCCACCACACCCAGTTTCTAATTTTAAAAGCAAGGTTTGACAAGATTAAAGTGTTTCCAGGTAATGTGTCCCAAAACAAAGCTCAAGAACTACATATAGGTAGAACTTGTGGGAAGATGACAGAGAAGTAGCAGTAAATCCCCTTCTAAGATTCAGAATCCAGACCCTGGAAAATAGCAACTGGGGGAAGAAAGAAGAGGCGGAGTCTGGGGACCCAGGAAGGATCCGAAGTGAAAACTGGGGCCCGCAGGCAAACTGAAGAAAACATGCAACACAAAGAAAGGGAGAGGCAGTCTGCACTTTCTCCCTGGCTCCTGGTTTGTGGCTCCTGAAAAAGGAAGATTGAATCCACAGAGATGCAGAGAAAGTGTGCAGCTCCAGAGCTGCAGGGGAAAAGGCACCAGTGGGGTGGAGCAGTGGATGCTGCGTGCTGCAGTGGCTGGTGAGTGGCGCCAGTCTAGGTGTCTGCCGCAGCCCTGTGTGGTGCCCTGGTAGGGTGGGGTCAGCTGAACCTTGGTCTCAGCACAGCGGCAGCTTGGCTGCTTCTCAGGCTCCCTGTGTTAAACTCCCACACTCCCTGGGTGAGGGATACCCACAGGAGACGTCCAGGGTCAGAGAGCCCCGGTCAGGCCGGCGAGAGACACCCCAAGTTCTAAGCTGAAGGACTCAGGCCCCATTCCCACAACTAGAGACCTGGTTCAGCCTGAATTTCTGTGGCTTTGAAGTCCCCAAGCCAGCACCCCGCCATCAAACTCCGGCTGCTCTGCTGGGATCATCAGCATGGACCCAGGCACTGACTGCCTCTCTTGTCCACCAACACTACTGCAAGACTGTGAACCCCAGAAGATAACCTCAGGCTTGAAATATTAGAGATTTTGTTTCTTGTTTTTTCTCTTTTGGTCTTTTAAAATTTTTTTATTGCTTAGTGTGTGTGTGTGTGTAAGTGAACATTATTTTTAGTTGATTTCTTGTTTTTGTTTTTTCCTTCTTCTCTCCTATCTTCTTTAGCAAATTCCTAAGGCTTAAGTACTCTTCCTTTGTCCCTCAGCCTTATGTCTACTCTTTTTTTCTTCTTCTTCTTTTATTTCTCTTTTTTCTCTTTTACATTTTTCCCCTTAGGGTAAAATTGCTCT